CAGAGCTCAAGGGCTGCCACTCGAATCAGAGCGCCTTGAGATCAGGACCGTGTCCTGTTCAATTCTGCCGCCTAGATCCAGCACAGAGCCTTGCAAAGAGTATATTCTGATGAATGAGCGAGCAATTAGAAAAGCTGAATGACTGAATAAATGCTCTTACCTCCCCTGGATCAGTGATTCGTTGGCTGTTCTTCAGCTGTGATTACTGGAAAACGAGACATTCACTGAGTTCATCCCTGGGTTTAGGCGCTAATGATATACATTGGCAACTACACATAAAAGCCCAAATAGACATGTGGATGATCTTTGACTTACAATGGGGTTACGTTCTGACAAACCCACAGGGAGCTGAAAATATCGTTAAGTCAAAAATGCATTCAATACACCTAACCTACCAACTATCGTAGCTTAGCCTAGCCTACCTTAAACGAGCTCAGAACAGACAATAGCCTACAGTAGGGCCAAATCCGCTCGCTGTCGCCCAGCATCACATGGCAGTGTGGTCCTGCCTACCGCTAGCCTGGGAAAAGAGCATTCAAAACGTGAAGTATGGTTTCTACTGAATGCATATAAATTCCACACCATGGTGAAGTTGAAAAATGTTAAGTTGAAGGCAAGGCTCTACACGGTGACGCACACCGGCTGGTGGCCTGGGTCTAAGACGGACAGGCTCCAGTCCCTGCTCTGTCGCAGCTCTCACCCATGTGTAGCTACCGAGAGGCTGTACCAGGGGTGTCCAGCCTTTTGGTGTCTCTGGGCCACACCGGAAGAAGAGTTGGCTTGGGATACATATTAAATACACAAACACTAATGAAAACTGATGACCAAAAAAAAGGTTTTAAGTAAATTTATGATTTTGTGTTGGGCCGCATTCATAGTCACCCTGGGCGGGCTGTGGGCTGGACACCCCTCCCGTGTAGACAAAGGGCACTTTGCTGAGGGAAGTTCTAGCAGAGGCAGCTGCCTGGTCGCTCTCGAAAACCACCCAGGCCTTTCCTTGTCTTCCACCTGACAGCCTGAGTTCTTTAGGGGGACTGGGAAGAAACGCAATCAGAGGCCCAACTAGTTAGGAGAAGAAGAAAAAGTTCTATCCTGAAAAAAGGCTGAGTATTTGAGAAAACAAAATGCCAGACACAGGTGATGGCCACTGACCGTTTGCTTGAAAGGGAAAGAGGCCAGGAAAGCTGGGAGAGGAGGTCAAACTCTCCCGTCGCCTCCCCTGCCTTGCCAGCAATGGTGAGCCTGACATTGAAATCATGGCACAAGCTTGCCATACACACCCGCGCATCCTCCCCAGCAACCTGAAGTCACAAAGCCTGAAGCTGGGGATCCCGAGAGCCTGTTTAGTAGAGGTGGAAGAGGGGCTGTGAGTTGAGCTTAGAATGCACTGTCCTGGGGCAGGGGGACCTTACATAGAGGTGGAGTCCTGCCTGCCTCACTTTTCACGCCAGGAGCAGCTCACTGAAGGCTGTTTGGATGGTCAGAGTAGCCATGGTTGGCATCGTGGGGCCAAACGCTTTTCTGGAGTTTGCTCAGAAGTTGAAAATGGTGAGAGCAAATGCTGGCCTAGGATGGGAGCCCCAGGGCCTGGAACAGAGCTCTGGGGTGAGGTGAGAGGACAGGCCCCACAGGTTTCATGTGCCTCCAGGCCCCGCAGTGGAAAGCTCCAGTGGCTTCCAGAGCCTTCCTGGATGGCAGCTGCCTGCCAGTATGGTTAGCACTGCTGCCAGGACTGCTCCTCAGGAAGCGGCTGGGAGAGGCCTGGGGCCAGTTTAGTGCTCTGTCTCTGCCTCTCTGCGCCAGGGCTGCTTGGCGAACAGCCCGCTGCGGCTTCTACTGCTGCAACGGGTTACCTGGGCCAAGAGAAATGGAAAAAGCAGCGTACCCAAAAAGAAGCTACTGTCCCCAAAGCTAAAGAAACCCACCAGGCTCAGAATGGGTGGCTGATGGGAACCTTCCAACATCCCAACCTTTCCCCTCAGCTGAGGAGCCAGGAAGAGTGTCACCACTTCCCAAGCCCAGCCTCCGCTTTATCTAATTCTTAATTCTACCTTGGCCGAAAACCATCAAAGGGTCTGGGATTTTAACCCAGTAGTCCTACCTGTATAACCTGTGGCCAGAAACTTCCACACCCCAATCAGAGACTACCATCCTAAGAAGCAGCAGAAATCCGGGCACTGTATCCACTCCTTCGGCGAATGAGAGCAGAGAGGCAGCTTGTCTCTCCCAGTCCTAATCGACACAGGCCAGTGTGATGGTCACTGTTTCCAAAGGCAGCAGAGAAACTATGCCCTGAGAACCACAAGTCTGAAGCCCAGCTGGAAGCGCATAAGGCTCTGGCAGAGAAGCCAGAGTCGCTGGGGTTTTGAACGTCATGACGCTCACAAGTAAGTTTTTTGGGGGACGCCCAGTAAGAAGGGGAGACAGTATGGCATCATCCGCAGGAAAGGACCAGCAGTTCTGAGAACAAAAATTGGCATTTTCCTCTTTCATTTTTCCAGCAAAGGAGGTTCCTGCCTAAACATGTGTGAGGCTCGGTAAAATCCATGAGCTGAGAACATTACCAGCTACCCAGTGTTAGCCCGCAAAACCCTCTCCCTAACCTTGTGTCCCAAGTGGGCCCCTCTGAGGGGCCAGGCGAGCGGCTGAGCGCACACATCTGGGCCAGGGCCAGCTCAGGTCGATCTTCCGTGCAGGCCGGTAGGATGCAATTTCTTTAAAAAGATTTCTTAATCTAAAACCAGCTGCTGTCTGCTGTGGCCAGGACATGACATTTTAATTAGCATTATTGTTCCGCTTCTGAAACCAGGCCCCATGGCATCCCAAGGGCAGATGATCCCGACCCAGGCTGCTGGGTGAGGCTTGCTGGGGAGCAGCTCAGAGATACACCAACAAGGGGGTGGAGGTGCTAGTCCCCTCTGAATCCCCCAATCACGGTCTCCGTCCTATTCCTGTCCTGAATTTCCCCGTGACCCATACAACCTGTCTGTTCACAGCAGAGAAACGTGGCGGTTAATCTCAAGTGCCTTGGATATAATACTCATTCTGTAATAGAAGTTCTTTTATGCTATGACATGAGCTCTAACCCCCCAATATTTCTGGGGGTAGTGAGGTACTCCTAATGGAGTTTTAATACCCATAGGAAGCCAATGATTCCTAAGAAGGTGATCAAATCACATTAATACAGTTCTCCGGGGGCTCCCAATGATCTCAGATTAGAGAGTTCCTCTTCCAGGTGAGGGGATTAAGAAGTACAAATAGATAGTTCCAGAACAGTCACAGGGTTGTAAAGTACAGTTCAGGAAATGGAGTAGCTAAAGAACTTACACACACTTGACCCATGAACACGAACAAGGGTGGGAGGACTGCCAGAGGGAGTGGGGGGTGCTGGGTGGAGGGGGGCAAAGGGGAAAAAATCAGGACAACTGTTATAACGTAGTCAATAAAATAGTATTTTTTTAAAAAAAGAAGAGTTCCCCTTCCAAAATCAAGGGGCTAATAAGGTGTGGGGAAAAAAGAAGAAAAACTGAGCCCTCTGGGAGGGAGGCCTGGGTGAGAAACCAGCTGCCCCGGCAGCACGGCGCGTTCGGAGACGTGATGAGGGCAGACGCAGCTGAGGGAGCCAGGCCGAGGCGAGAGCACCGGGACGTAAACGCAGACGTAAACACCAGCAGCCCAGCTCTTGGCTTGGAGCAGGGACTTAACGTGAGGCTCTCCCCCATCTACCTGCCCCAAATTTGAAAACAAGCTTGAGAACCCCCCCGAAGGTTGGAAGCCCTCAGTTTGTGTCAGCTACTGGTGTCTGGGTGACAGAAAAAATCACTGTTGGTTTCGGTCATACCATCCCCAGTATTAGGAATATGAGACCGAAATACCTTCCCATGCACCCTAATGACTAGTATATAATTAACTACACCAAAAGTACTTATTAAGCACCTGTATTTGCAGCTGTACTATGTTGAACGAGTCACAGCTTCAGGGTCTGCCTGTGCAAAATGAATGAAGCGAATGAGATGGTCCCTTGGCCCTTTTACCTATAACAGCCCACGGTTCTATCATGCCTTAACGTGAAAGCTGAAGCCCTCAGGATTTGCACTTCCAGTTTGACTAGTTTTGAAATTTTTCTTTGACCTCTCAAAATCTGTCGGAACACATGTGAAGTGATTCTTGTTAAAATGACAAGTTTAAAAACTACAGCATAATAACCGCTCACCTTCACGTCACTCAACAGAACAATGGGAGGTGTATTAGTGACTTCGACTGGCACACAACTAGGCTTCAGTAATTATATCCATATTCCAGGCAAATTGTTATGTAGTTTGTGTTCTGGGGACGTATGTTATGGCTAAAGCCCAAACTGTGGCTAATCTTAATATTAGAGCCAGATAAATCTGTTTTGAATCCATAACATCTAACATTTGCCAGAGTAGATTTGTTCATCAACTGGGCTTAAAGAGGTATAATTCACACATGTGCAGTATTACTAAATGCTGAAATTTAACGATTTAAATATACCAGCAACTATTGCAAAGCAGTTGTTATAGCAGCATTTAACATTAGCCAGAGCCTCCCTGGCTAATGTTACGTTTATACCAAAAGAATGAGGGAAATTTTGGCATCCCCTTGGGGTGGGGTCACATCTCCCTCAACTTTTACAACACGTACTTGCTAGAGCAACTCAGTGTTTGGCTATTAGGGGCCCTCTGTTTCTCCCTGAGAATACCTACAAAAGATTGACTGGACCCAATGAGGGAACAAACAAAACCTTTGGAGGTTTTGGGACACGTCTTCTTTTAGAATGTTTAGTTCGGGGATCTTACTCTGCTTGACAACACAGGGTGCAAGACAGTCTGGGAAGACACGGGCAGGAGACGGGAGCTAAGGCCAGGAGAAGGAGTTAAATACACGAAAGAAGAAAGAAGCTCCGTAGACGACCGATAATCAATGTTTTAGACATAGTAGAAAAAGGAATAAAAAATCATTTTAATCATATCAAAAAAGCCAAACCAAACAGGAATACCTCATGGGGTGCACAGGGTCCCACAACGGCAGTCGATGCCCTTCTGTGCACAAGGCTAGCACCGCAGGCCCCAGGCACACTGGGTGGGGCAGAAGTAGGTTCACAGCTGGGAGTACGGAAACAGAGTTTATCCTTGTATTATTATTAATTAATTATTGTATTACTTTCCCCGCAAACAACTGTAAACATACTTTTACCCCACGCTGCATGGAAAATCCCACTATGATTGGATTTTGCTCCAAATTCTGGGCTTGGCTTTTCCTCCCAAGAACTCACTGATGTGAAATAACTGTAAGTGAGACATGGATATCTTTTCCATGATTCCCCACATCTCAAATGGGCTGCAGGTTCCTCTCCTCAGCAGCTTTCCAGTCAGGGAAGTTTCCTTTCGGACTGTGATGCCAGAACTGGGAACTAGGGAGCCTGAGCTGGATGTAAACCTGGAGCCACCAAGGCTCCCACCTGGCACTCAAGCAGCCATCGGAGGCCGTAGGGGACACTAGAACAGGGGGTGCAGAGCTCGAGGGGCTTAGGCAGCCTCTTGAGGTCCCTGTTCTTGAGAAAGTAGGTCAGGGGGGTAGACGGCAGAGTCCGGCATGTCACTCTTCCACCCTCAAGTCCCCACCCTGGTATCACCCATGCTGGGGAGGCCGTGTTCTCGTCCTTTGTTCAAGCCTGATATTCAGACCTCCACCTGTGGCGGGTTTATAAGCTGCCGATGTTGGGGAAGCTCTTCAGTTTCTCGGGGAAGTCGTCTTTGTAGAGGACAGGGTCAGCTCGGTGCTCCACCACCTTCAGAGGCATTGTCCCGAAGACTGAAGCAAACTTGTTGATGCACTCAGACCTGCGGGGTTGGGGAAGGAGGGGGGTCGTTGAGCAGATAAGAAGGATGGGGGTGGGGGAAAAAGAGAAAATGTTCAAGAGGCTGAGAGATGAGAGCGAAATACATGATGTTCAACATCAACAGAAGAAATCCAAATATCCGCAGCCTGCTCCCAGGTTCTTAAAAAGGTTGTAAGGGTGTGGATACAAGAAGCGATGGGGGCTGAGGGGGGCTGAGGGGGGCGGTACTCTGACTTAGTTCAGCGGGGGGAAAGTGAGCAGGGAATGCTGTCTGGAGGGCCTGCAGAGGTCAGATCTCTCTTCCCCTCCCCCTTAAATTCCAGTCATTCTTCCAGATCAGTACAAGCAGGCCTCAAACCAAGGTGGATTAGCTGCCAACGATTCTTAACCCCATCTCTGCCAGCTGAAGAGAAGGCAAACGGGGCGGGGTTGGGGTGGGGAGGAGAAAGCCACTTGGATCTGAGCTTTAGCTTACTGACGTTCATCAGCCACAGAGAGGGCTCTTACACATGGAGCAACGGAAGGCGAAAGAACCTAATGGGGGTGGTGAACCTCAATTCCAAACAATGAACACTCCGTCCATTCAACCGACATTTGCTGGAGGCCTATAAGCGGCAATCTCTGGGAACTGTCAGTTGATTCCCACAAGCTCTTCTATGAAAGCTGAAGTTCACACAGAACAGCTTCCATGATTTGAGCCACTTTCGTGTCAGAACCAGCAGCCAACAACCTAGTTGGTGACAGAGCAGCTCAGCACTGCTGGAGGAGGAGAGTGGGGTCCCGCCCCTGCCCCTCCCCCCAAGCCTGGTGAGCAACCTCCTGGGAGGTGAGCAGGTCAGGCACCTTGGCGGGAAGTGGTTCTGGTCAATCAGGCCAACCGACTGTGACAGCTGGGTAATGAGGACACTTCAGCATCAGGCCAGAGGGGAGTCACAGGCCTGTAAACACCGCTTTTGAAGATAAGGGGAGCCCAAGGATGGATTTCAGAAAGGTCAGTACACTCTCCTCAGTTAGGCCCGTGGCACCCGAGAGCTACAATAAGAACGACCTAATCAGAGGCAGAACCATTTACCAAGAAAGGGCTGAATTTCAAGACGTGGACCAGAAGTCTCGTCTGCCCTCAGAGGTATTGTGGGCTTTGTTTCAAAATTGTCTTAATCAACAAGTTTTTACTTGAGTACTTTGAACTTTAGGAAGAAACCAATTCATAAAGAAGCCAGTCATTTCATTTCTTTTCTCTTGGTCATTATGTTCTAGAAAAATGTGTTAGGATTCCACTTGTAGCTAATAGCATCGTGTCCACCAACACCACAAATCAATAGCTAATACTGTGTTAAGAGTGCTTTATATCACTAGTAACCCATTTCATCCTCACAGGCACCCTATGGGGTAGGTCCTACTATTGTTCCCATTTTACACTGGGAAGACCGAGACACAGAGAGGCTAAGTAGCATGTCCAAACATCAAGTGACTAGTAAGCGGCAGGGCCAAACCCAGGCATTCTGGCTCCTAAGGCTAAAGTCTTAATTATGAGATGATACACATTTATTTATTAACACAATTCTAGGGTCCAAGGGGGAGGGGCTGGAAATTAACAACCGTTGAGGACCAATTCCATGCCCAATAATTTACGTACATGATCTTACTGATTCCTTAAAGTATCCCCCTGCATGCGCCCAAGGGTTGGGTTTACGGTAGCTTCCTGATGCCGGCTGAGGAATCAGGACAGAGAGGGTCAGCAAACTGGCCAAGGACAAGGGCTGGAGAGTGGTGGGTGGGGCTTCATACCGCGCCTGCGCGCTGGTAACACAGCCCCTGCGCTTCTCACTCGACCGACCGGAAGGGGCAGGGAGGAGCTGCCCTCCCGCTGGCAGTCTTTGGAGACTCAAGAGGTTCCAAATTGAACACAGATAGGGAAAAAGACTAAGGAGTTTCAACAAAATGGCATGAAGTGAGCATTGGACAACAGCTTCCCTCTCCTCAAATACTGGGGTCAAGGCAGTGGCAAAGCCAAACTCCTCCAAGGTCTTAGTTTTGACAGTTGTTCTGCCTGTAATCATGTGCCGATGTTCCCAGTTTCCAGTTCTTACGCCTGTAGATTCTGGCCAAGAAAGCCCAGCTGTGCCCAGCTCAGGGACCAGCGAGTAGGTACTAAAGAAGAATCATGGCTCTTGGCAAAGCAGAGAGGCTCCAGGGCCCCCTGGAAAGTACTGAGGACAATGTCTCCTCTGTAACTGGATCTGCCAACAGGGCTGGGCCACAGGCAAGAGGCCACGGGGCTCCGGCCAGCCTGACTTGTTGACAGCTGCCCCTGGCTAACCCGGGTTTAGTGAGTACTTCTTTCTCCCCACACAGCCTGCACTGGAGAAGTGGCTGGGCTGCTCTGGATGGTGAAGGTCCTGAACTCCCCTGCCAGGGACCGGCAGTGTTTCCTACTCTCTTTTCACACCGGGATCTGGGTTGGAAAACGGGTTAGGAGAGATGAGAAGTCTGGCTTGCTACCGCTGGCCCACCTGAGTTGCTCTGTAAGGCGTCCAGCTACCCTGCCTGAAACTGTCCCCTGGGTTGGTTTGCTAATTGACTGTAAACAGGCTAAGAACTGCCAATATCTATCTCTAAAGTCTGGAAGTATCTGGGGCCGGGAGAAAGGTCTAATGGTTTTCTGTTTTCCTTTCAAACACATACAATTACCTAAAGTAACCAGGGGCCTTTAGGGCTAATGTGGGGGAAACTGGGAAGGAAACGAATTCTGCCAGGCACTGTGCTACAAGCTTTCGTGTATTATTACTTTAGTCACCAGCATATAATACAGCGTTTGGTACAGAGATGCTCAATAAATATTTGTTGAATCAATGAATAGACACTGTAATTTGATAATAATTAACATCCCCATTTTAGGAGACGAAAATATTCAAGTTTAGATAAGGTAAGTCAATATCCTTAAGTCAGACAGCTAACAAGTGGCAAACTTTTAATTTGAACAAAGACTGGCCTCAATCAAAATTCTATGTTCTTTTTCTTAAATCAACAGTGTCTGTCATATTGCCTTGACCTTACTAAAGCTATTGGTTGAAATGAGCAGTAACAAACTGTCCTGGTTCTTAAAGAAATAACAGGAGATCCTGGAAATGGATATAGGGTAGTAAAAGCCACTTTCCTGCACAACTGAGATTTCTAATTCTAGAACCCAAAGACAGAATAAATAAGCTTACTGAACCACAAAACCCAACATAAGGTCATAAGGTCATATGTGGTTAAATCCTTTCATTATTGTGTGCAAAATGTGTATTCTGCAAAGGGAATCATTACAAAAATAACACAAATGAACAATTCTACAGTTCGAACTCCATCTCTTGGTCTACAGAAGATGGCTTAAATCATGTCTTCTTCCCTCCCAATCTGAGTGCCTTATTTAATGATTCATTGACCCAGATTAAAGACTGGATAGCTTCACTCCCAGTTTCTCACTGATTTCAAGACCAATTCCCTATCAAATTTCTCAAAAAGGTAGTCTAAATTCACTAACCCTACTTCCTCACCACAGACTCACACTCTATACCCTGGAGCCCCACCGTCTATGATGTTATTTTTTTCAAAGTCACAAAAGACGTTTTCCCAGGCTGCAGGTCCCCTGTCCCTCCCCTGCTCTGGGCACTGTAATGCCTGGCTCTCTCCTGGCCTCCCCAGTGGTCTCATCTCTGTTGCCAGTTACTCTGTCTGTCTCCTAAATGTCAGAATTTCTCGAGACTCTGCCCTTGGCCTTTCTTTAGTCAACTGCCATCTCTGGGCAGATGTCTTCCAAGTATCACTTTAATCTTCTTTCTAGAGTTCTAGTTCCACACTTCCAACTGCTTGCCCCACAGTTACACCTGCATATACAGAGGGCAAAACCCCCGAATCACATCCTTACTGCTCTCCAGCTTCACCTCTGACTGAAGTCTCTTCCTGTCCTCATCAATTATACTGTTAAAGGTAGCACTATGCACCCCACTGCCTCCCCTAATTAGTGTCTCCTTCTAACTCTATTATTTACATTGTTAAAGGTACTAGGATTCTTCCTGATTAGAAATCTAGAAGTTATCTCTCTTGACTCCTTCTCCATAACCTTCCCATACCTATCCAGCTGGAAATAAGCACATCTTTTTTTGGGGGGGGGGCGGCGCGGAGAGAATATCTTGCAATTTAATTCATTCCTTCCTCTCCACACTCAACTTAGTTCAAGCCTTCTAAGTGTTCTTTCTTCAATCTCTTTATCTTTATTCCATCCTATGCCCTACTTCCAAATTAATCTCAAAATTAGATCAAGCTACTCCCCTGTAGTATGTAAAGAACAGATTGGAAATATAGAGGGGAAAAAAAAGCTACCCCCCATTCAAAAACCTCCCATGGCTTACCAGAACCTGAAGAAAACCATTTAGGCTCGTTCCTTAACTGAGGATTCAAGGCAGTTTGGTTCTAACAAGCCAGAACTCTATGCTCTAGCCAAACTGAACTTCTTAACTGCCTGTCAAATACACCTTGAACTTGCTGATCGGCACCTCCGATCACACACACACACACACAGTTTCCCCTGCCTACGACCTCCTCTTCCTGCCCAGCATATCATCAGCTGGGATCCTAAGGACCTGTGAAGGCTCACTTCAAATGCTATGTCTTTTACAAAATTATTCCTAAAACATCAACCCAGCAAGAAATCACTCCTCTTTCCTCTGATCGGTTATAACATTTTGAGTCTCCCTGATGGTACTTATCACATACAGCTTTGGGTTACCTCTGGTAAGGTGCCTATTCTGTTTTCAAAAGCCTCTTTCCAATAGGAAGCCTCCACATCTTCCTTTGTTACCCCCTTCAGTGTTTAGTAAGAAATATACCTAACTCAACTCTCTCTCACTGCATTTTAAGTCTTTTTACTTTCCTGATGATCTCAGTGGAGCTAGAGAGGAGCTGTTTAGCCTTCGCATGAGCTTCAAGGCCATTATTAGGTCAACTTTTCTCCCTGAAATTTATCTCTTGGACCATATAACACCGTTAGTTTAACTCAGCCCAATCAATAACCAATTGCTTAATGCCATAAATTCTCCCCAAACACAGAGAATAGTGGGAGGTTCAAATAACAATTTCACGTACTCCAACGGAACTGCACTTGGGGCCTCTCTTCCAAATGAGCTATGACAGCAACTGTCACTGCCCTTCACAGTATGATATTGATGATACTAGTGACAGATAGTTCCAGAATCACAATAATGTAATATTTCACATTGACAGTTGGTAAAAGTCATGTCATTTGGTTAAGATATCTATATATGAAAGAAACAGAGATTATTTAGAGAGTAATAGTAAGAAGAGTAAGAAGAAAGAAAGCATTATTGAAGAATCCAGGCCAACTGAAAAGAAACAACTTTCTGTACAAAAAAAAAAAAAAAAAAACAAACCCTCCAGGCTTAAAGGATTTTAATATGGTTGATAAGTTTCAGAAATGAATGCTGCAAATAGAAGCATATGAGACCTGTGGAAACTTGAACTAGATATCTCACTCTACAAAGCTACTCTGACATTCAGAATGAATTCTGGTCCCTTGACAACAGCGCCGCTGGATGTGAGCGCTTGCTGTCTTGCATAGGAGCTGCCTTTAGGAAGAATTGGGTTTGATTCAAGAGATTCGAAGCTCGGGAACCTTTGGGTTACAAGTGAGAACTACTAGGTCTACTCTAAGATTAGAGTGGTCTTAAGGGAAGACATGCGTTTCCACTCCTTTTATACTCATCTACAAGGCCTGGTGCTACACTCCACACAAAGGTGTGCTTGTTGAGGAACTGAATGAATAGAAATAAAGGGAGTATTTCAGAGCTCTCCTGCTCCCTTCTCTCTGTAATGTAAAGAGCTGGGCTTTCAATTCTGTTCTTGGTAGGTGTTTCAGTAGTGCCAGCAAAGGTAATTTGTCTCTGGTGGGTTTGGTTTCATTCCTTCTGATCAAACTTTCACTGTAACATGGAGATATTACCCTGAAAAACAATCCAGTATTTCCTTGGAATTAACTAGCTTCCACTCAAATGACTGTGGATGGTTAACTGCTTAGTCTAAATGGAGAATCTGGCTTCTGGAGCTTAAGGCCAGCTATATTTTTAAGACCCTTCCAGCCATTACAAATTGAGTGAGTAGCATTCCAAATTAATTCTCTGGGTGACCTGGGCTTGAACTAATCCAATTCCCACAGTGCAAGAGGAGGTGACTATGGCTACCAGCTGCTGTCCTTGTATTTCAAAAAAAGTGCCATAAACAGGCCCAAGGCAGGAAATGGGGATCACAAGCTGGGGCAGACTTTTGGTAAGAGGCTCACTCACCTCTCGACCATGTGTGTCTGGTCTAGTGAAAGTCCATCAATGGCTGTGCACTCAGGACACTTGAATTTCTTTCGCGGTGTTACCTGCCAGAGGAGCACAAAAATACACCTGGTTGTCAGTGCCAAAGACAATAAAATCGTGCTTGTGACACCACTCTGCACGCTTCTGTTCCATTAGCGGAGATGCCTTTCCCTCTGTACACGCACACGCACACGCACCTCACCATTCCTGCCTTCAGTTCTGTCTGGCTCAGCCAACGGCAGAACTCACAAGGGCCCAATAAAAAAGGCTTGGAGGGCTTTTGCCTTCTGTAACTGGAAAGAAGTGGTGATGACAAGCTCCTTAATTCCTGTTTAATGACTGTTTTCTCACTGCCAAGGTCCTTGTATAAACACCATTTGTTCTTGCAGCCATAAGGGCGATGAAATACAGCTTCCCATAACTTTCACCGTAACCTTAGTTCCAACAGGCGCTCTTTCTCCTTCTTCCAGCTCATGGCAAACGCTATGAGCAGCACCAGGCTCTTGAAGATGCCAGGTTATTTTGCAATTCCCTTGAATCAGAAAAAGAAAGTCCAATGGTCCCTCATCCTCTGAATCCTTTCCCCTGACTCTCCCCCTACGGTCCCAAACCTTCAACTTCCAACGATCTTCTAGCAAACTCAAGGGAAGCTGCTATCCTAACCTAGCGAAGATAAGCAAACAGCAGAGGGACAGGAGAGGAGAAAGCTAGATAAAAAGCAAGGTTAAAAAGCACAGGACAGCAGGAACCGCTGTCCAGAATAAGCAAGCACAGCTGAAAACAACTCGAAGCAGGTCAAAAAGCCAATCTGGAGATAAGCGTCCTTTAAAATGAGTTTCACAATTTACATTCATTAATTTCCCTTGCAGTAAGCTGTCCATGGGGTTACTTAGGGAGCTGGGGGATAGGGTGAGAACTGGGTTGGGTTTGGAGAGCACAGATAGTGACTTTTCCTCTTTCCTCGGTCACTCTGGTTTAATTTGGCTTCTCTCATCAATTAATAGTACAAGGAGTCAGTTGGGAATGTCACCGCATGCTTCCAATATAAGCGTCCAGGAGAGGGAGATCGCAGCACTAGGACTCTGGCCTAGAAGTGGCGCCCACTGTCATGCATGGAGCCCCACCTCCAGGAGGAAGAAAGGTCAGGATGATCCCACACATAAGAAGTGTGTGCTCTCCCTACATAGCTAGGGACTGAATTGGAGCAAAATCTACATTTCGAAAGTAGGTATCCATCCCCATCGGGTCTTTACTATATTATAGGATAGGTAATTTTTAATACCTGGAAATTGATATTCAAAAACAAGATTTAGGACTTCAGTTTTAATTGTACAAAGTGTACTACTACCTTCTTCATGTCTATAAAAAAAGACTGGCTACCTCAAGAATGACGTATACTGTATCCTTTAGCTAACAACTAGATTCCAAATCAACTTTGAGAATAAAATTAATATTTTGAAAAACATGATTTGTAGATGGGCCATCACAGCCTTTATCTCTGATACTGAAGTTTAAAAACAGCAACTAAAGTAACTATATTTAAAAAACATGTTTAAATTATCAAAGCCTACCCTTCAATTTTACAATGTGAGAGTCAATCATTGACTCATCAAACATGAAAAGGGAGTGTCCTGGCTGGTGTGGCTCAGTGGACTGAGCACCGGCCTGCGAACCAAAGGGTCACTGGTTCAATTCCCAGTCAGGGCACATGCCTGGGTTGTGGGCCAGGCCCCAGGTTGGGCGCATGTGAAAGGCAACCACACATTGATGTTTCTCTCCTTCTCCTCCCTCCCTTCCCCTCTGTCTAAAAATAAATAAATAAAATCTTTAAAAAAAAAAGTGAAAAGGAAGCTTAGCATTCAGCTACTCCAATACTTGGTTTATAGTTACGAGAACTTCTTGGCTCAGAGAAAAGAGACTTGCTGAAGATCACAAAGTAAGTTAGTGGCAGAGCTGGACAAGGACGTCTCCTACCTTGATGACAGCTTTCCCTGTGACATTAGCCACTAGGAAATTCATAGCAATGTCTTCACAGTTCATATGAGCATCCACCCAGTTCTTGATGTCCCCAGGCATTTTGTAGGTATACAGGTAATTAAAGTACTATCAGGTGAGACAAAAAGAAGAAACAATCAAATAGCAGTTCCCTCTGCTGATAAATAAAGTGTAACTCTATCATGGCACAGGGACAAGCTTTCTCTCATAAGATTGAACACAGGCTGTATCAATAGAAAGGGAGAAGGAATTATTAGAACACTTTTTGGTCAGGTGACCAAGATCTTTAATATTGTCATTCTCTTCAAAATCACCTATTATAAGCAGAGGAGCAGTACCACGTGAAGCCCTTGTAGGATGCAGGCCCTTTGGATTGATTAAGTGTTTTACAAATATTGTTCAGAGACACACTACATAGCCATCTTTACTAAATCCTTCCCCTGGAGTCATAATGCTCAACCCTGTTTTCTCTATTCTTTCCATACATCGCAAAGAGAAACAGAGATAAATTAACAGTGGATTGACATTGCAAAGGTATATGCTCTTTACAATAAAACAAAAATGAGGCAATCCTCAAACTACAATAACCTACACACATGAAAATAGTATAAAAATTCATGGGCAAAAATTTAAAAAGTGAATGCAATCTACTACTATAACCCTCCAGATTATAAACATACATTTACTTTTTTATTTATAAGAATGAAAAAAACCTTTCTGGATCAAGAGCCCTAAAAAACACAAGGGCAACAGTGCTGAGATAGTGACAAGCCATCAGTGTAGAGCTAAGTTAGATGAACTGTCCTGGGTTGAAGAGAACTTTCTCCTGACATCAGTTCCTTGTGCCACTGCTGACAATTAACAAGATATTACTATTTAATTAAACCACACATTTCCAGGGAACATTCAATTGTCAAACCGAATATTCTAAAGTCCAACGCATACTTTTCAATCACTCCCTAATTAAATGAGTCAAAAACATGAAGTGATAGTTCTTAAGGGAGAGGAAATACAAAAGGCTAATACACAAAGGGATTTCAGTCTCACTAGCAGTCAAATCACTTAAAACATTAAGATCCATTTTCACATGCACTTCATGCAAGGGATGGTATGGTAAGATAGTTTTATATTTTGCCAGTGGGCGTGTATATTGGTGCAAACAATATATTGAAAACAAGAAACAAAAATATGTATCAAAACCTCCCCAAAACTTCTATTCCCTTCGATAGAATCCTACTTCTAGGAATCTAATACAGTAGTCAAAAGTACAAGCAGTTGTGAAAGTGGATATTAATCATTATTTAAGCATTAGATATTAAGCACTATCTAAACAGCAAAAAAGATAGAAACAACCTAAACAGGCAATGACAGAATAATAGTTACACATAACTTATGGAACACTAATACACTGGCCTATTAGCAATTATGTTAAGAAAAAAATTGGGAAGAAATATTAATGACGTGAGAAAATTCTCCTGATATAATACATGAAAAGAGCAGGCTAATATGAATATTTGTAATGGTATGTGTATATGTGCCTAAGTAAATAAATAAAATGCAAAGTGGAAAAAAAATCTAAACAACAATAACGGTTCTCTAAGTGATATACATATGACTTTTCTTACCTAATAAAATTTGTTCTGAATTTTCTATTATGAGAATGCATTACCTTATAAATATAACTAGTAACTTTATTCTTTAAAAACCATCTCGCGACATGGCCTTTCCAAGCCCTCTAGGCAGAACATTTTCCTAAACTCAGCAAAAATTAACTTGGGCCAAATACAGTGAGCGCTGCGCTCTCAGTTTTGTCAGCTCCGGCCCGCCTGCCCCGTGCCTCACCTTGTGGTAGAAGGCTGCTCCCGTGAGCACCATGGACACCTCGTTAGTCCACTCGGACTCATACTTCCACTTACTCGTCTCGTGGTCCCAGAGGTGCAGACGGCCGGGGTAACCCACCAACCGGTCAGGAAATTCCCGCCAGACCTAAAGATGGAAACCCATCAATAATCAATTCCCAGTTCAGACACAAGCGAGCACAGTGAGTATGAAGTTATCCAAACAGGTATTGGCAGACTCCAGAGGCTCAAATCTTCACAAACTAAGGTGAGAATATGCTTCTGAAGATGTTCATTTGAACAGGTGCTAGTTCTTCTGCCAATATTCAAAGACAGACATTGATTCTGATTTCCTCCCAAACATTTTGGACTTGCTTGGAAATTTCAGATAATGTGGAGTAATAGCTTACTGATTTGGGCCAAGGCAGGTAATCACTTAGAGAACGCACACATGAAGAAGAAATGGAACCCTGCAACTAATGCGACTGTTGTGATTTATATTACATTTTGATTTATATTACATTTGATTCTGATTTATATTATGAAGTCCGTGTTTCTATAAACAAACAAACAAACAGTTTCTCTGGAGCACACAGCCAGCCATTCTCATGACCTTTAAGAAGCCTTAATTTAAGTATGTATATAATTTATAATATATTGAAAATAAAATTTGATTTCCATATCTAAAAATGCTCTTAACTACAGTTCTGTTAAACAGAATTTGGTAGTTTGGAGTGGGATACATCCAATACCTTTCCCTATGTACTTCTGTGTAATTTAGTTTAACCTTTACAAGAGAGGTTCATACCACTAACGAGTGAGTACGGACGATCTGCCAGTTGTTGATGCAGTGGCTTTCCAGCACCTCTACCAGACCTCTCAACCACAGGGTTCCTGAGGACCCAGTCCTGGGCCCTCTTTCTTCTTTAAACTCTCTAAGTAACCTCACTTAGCTTCAGTCACTTTAAATACCATGTATAATCTAATGACCTTTAAATTTATGTTTGGCCCTGAACATTCTTGAGATAACCAACTACTTACTCAACATCTTCAAGTGAATAAACAACAGGCACCTCAAACTTAACATGTCCAAAGTATAACTCTTGATTCCATATCCCCAGATAAGCCATTCTCTCGATCTTCTCCATCTCAGTAAGTCATCTATGCAGTTGTTCAAGCCTAAAAGCTAGGAGTCAGTTTTTATTACTTCTTTTTCTTTTTCCTCATTCCCCATATCCAATCTATTGCAAGTCCCGCTGGCTCGATTCTGAAGACCTGCGACCATTTTTACTACTGCTCTAGGTCACGCCACCCTCGTCTCTTGTCTAGTCTGTCACAGGCTTCTAACTTATCTCCTTGCCTCCATTCTTGCTCTTCCAAACCATTATTAAAGAGCATTTTTTAAAATAATATTAGGGTATAATGAACAGGGGAATTCAACCAGTGGGCTCTATCCTATTTTATGCACACATATATTTTAAACTTACAATATTTTCATTATACATTTACCCATATGTATTATTTTCCATACTTACATATATATGTATATGAATAAATAATGCACAAATAAACTCTGAGTTTCATGTACTCACAACTGTAAACCTGCTTTTGCCCTACCCTGTACATGTAAGTCATATGGTCATATGCTACAGCAACCAGAGGCTTCCCCAACACCCAGGTGTCCCTGAGTCCAGGAGGACCCTTCACTGCTTCCGCAAGGACAGGGCCGGTATGCCAGCATTTCCCTGTGTTAGTTCACTGGGGCTACGGTAACACAGTGGCACAAACTGCGTGGCTTAGAACAACAGCAGCTACAAGTCCAAAATCAAGGTGCTGGCAGGGCCCCGCCCCCTCTGAAACCCGTGGGGTGGGGGGGCTCATCTCCTGCCTCTTCCGAGTTCTGCGGGCTGCGCGTCTTGGGCGTTCCTTGGCTTACCCATGCATCCCGCCAAACCTCTGTCTTCACGTGGCCCTCTTCCCTCTGTGTGTGCCTGTGTCCGGTTCTCCTGGAGCAGGGCCCACCCAGTGACCTTATGTTAACTTGATTACCTCTGAATAGATCCTATTTCCAAATAAGGCTACTAAGAGTTGGAATTTCAATGTATCTTTTTTAGAGGGACACACTTCAACCCGTAACATTCACCCTCAAAGTCTCTAAATGTTTCACCCCCAAACAAAACAAGAAAAGGATTCCTGACGACTAAGAATAACATCCAAACTCTTCAGCATCTCTAAAGGGTCTGCCCCCTCTCCAATCTCTTCTCTTACCATGTTCTCTCCGATTTCAGCGGCTTTTCTGTTCTTCAGCCAGCCGTGACTAGACCTTCAGCCCTTTGCACTGGCCATTTCTTCTGACTGCCACGTTCTCCCTGCCTTCAAAAGCTGGCTCCTGCTCATCAGCCAGGTCTCGGCTACGTGCGCCTGCTCTGGGCGGCCTTTTCAGGCCTCCCTCTCCAAGGTGAGCGCCGTCCCTGCACCGGCCCTTCATACCACCTCCTCACCTTACGCTTTCCTTCACCAAACTTTTCGTTTTTAAAAAAAACTGTTCCGGTTATTTATTTTTGCTTATTTTTTACCTATTTTCCTTCCACAGAATTTCAACTCCACAAGGACAGAGACTCTTATTCACTGTGACGCCCGCCGCACACACAAAGAACAGCACCAGCACACGCCGGCGCCCCCCACACACGTGCTGAGTGCACAGACAGGCAGAATCTCAGCAGGCAAATGTTGAGAAAGAAAGAACGAACCAAAGAGCCTTTCTCTGTTCTTCACAGCCAGAGCCAGTACCCTCCTTAATTCAGAAAGGATGTCTGCAACAGTACTCATCAACTGGTACCATTAATAATAACGTGATATCCTTTGTGTGTGAAGATCACAGTAATAACTCACCATCACTAAAGCACATGTTTTAAATTGCTTTTCCAGAAGCAGGTAAAGGGATATTTGCTGAGTCATTACGCTGTCTTGCTCAGTCCTCCTTGTGATCATCTTCTACATGCTTTTCAGGTGATGTCTGACTTGGGTCTTGAGCACAGTCGGGACTTGTGGAAAGAGCTTTCCTTTGTGTGAAGCCAGCGGCTCACCCAGTGGACACCCAAACCCACAGCCTCGGCCTCATCAACACGATGCTGTACCCAACAGAGTTAACCGGCCACAGGCATCATCCTAATAGCTGCAGACAAATGAATCCGTGTCAGACATTTCCTCAGATGTGTAATGCTGCGGCTCTGTTCTCTACTCTGGGGTTTGTATTTCCGCAGATTAAAATGATATGATACTATTACAGGTTTATAGAGCCCAGAGCAACGACATAGCATGTAAGCCATAACTTCTGTTCAGTTTGTGGGCCTGGGCAGACTCCATGAACAGGCATGGCCAGCTTCCTTCTCTCTGCACCAAGCACCTGCCTGTTCAAGTCACACCAGGACAGCACTCAGTGGAGTTAGAGAGATTTCTGAAGGGCTCCAAGCGCAAGTGACTAAACATCAAGGATGGGCAAGGTAGGTGGAGAGGGGTAAGGTGGGGAGAGGAAGGTGTCCATTCGGTGTGAACCACTGATAGATGGAAGCTGTACCCCCTCTCCCCATTTACTATGAGTCAACACAGCTCTGTAATCCACGCAAAGGAAGTTCAAATCATTTTCCCAAGTGGTTCTTCAAGCACCCGTTTCCAGCAATAATAGTAATATTGGCTCAGTTTTTGGGTAGAAGGCTCGTAATATTTCAATCCTCTTCCTGTTAGTTGAAGCCACTTATCAGCATTCTCTCCAGAGGGACTCAATTTGGTGACACTGGGTCACAGAATGCTAAACCATGCTGCTCTAAAAGCATGAGAGGTGTCCTGAGTCTCGGATCCCTTTGGAGCCTTTCGTGAGCGCTGCTCCTCATGCGGCCTCATGCAGGGCCTCTCTGCCCTTGACTTATTCCAGGCAGCTGGATACAATCAAGATACCATCCTTGTCACTTCATCTATAACTCTGCAGCTGACTACAGGATCAAAACGGAGTGGAACAGAAGGGGATGGGCCCTCTCTAATCGCGCCCCAGTGTAGCACGAAGCTGATTATGTACACAGTAAAGCATTTTCCCAGCCAGAAGAGTGAGAACTCAGACTCCAGCCCCCTCTCCTCTTGGCTGCCCACCTCGTACTCCAACGCAACATTTTCCTTTTTACTTCAGGAAAATGCCCTGGGGTCAGCCTTTTGACGTTACTAACAAATGCCTTTATGTATCACGGTGTGGGCATTTTCAAACTTCACACTTTATCCCCCTGGCTCTAGGAACAGTCCTTCCATAGCTCTCTCAAGTCACAGAGCCACCGTTCAATGGTTTGCATAGACTACTGATGTCCTAGGTGCCTCCTGCATTTTTAATCGCACACATCTTTGAAGACAAAAGCCTATGTCCATTTAATAAACTCTAGGCCCTGGTTAGGGGCTCAGAAATAATCTGAATAGTCCTTACATTTGGGGCCAGAGATTGTGGCAGCCTAATACCATCCTCCAAATGTTTCCCTCCCATCTAATTTTATCTTTCATCTCTTACCAAGGTAACAAAAACTTCTTCCTCTGGACCCCCAGATGTGATCACTGACTGTTTTGAGAGTTATCTACTTTGTTTTTTAATTTTTAAGCTTCTGAGGTCTTTTGTGGCTCCCTATTACTAGAGGATCAAACATAGAAAAACCTTTGTTAAAGGCACAGGACGCAGCCTAGGTTCTCTCCTGCAGAAAGTACAATGGGGGATGCAGTTCCAGCAGACCTAGGACTCGCTCTGTCACTGACGGGTAGTGTGACTGACCCATTCAAGTTGTCCTGCTTTCATTTTGCCATCTGCAAAATGAGGGGTTGGATTAGGTGATCTCTAACGTCCTTTTAAGACTAAAATCTTGTGTCTTCCTTCTTACTAAGCTATTCCCAAGGAAACTAACTCATTCACTGTAATCAGTTGCAAGCTACAGGTTTCTAAATAGCATGGCCTGAATTATTTAATTTTGTTTAAAAATGCCATACGCATATGGGTACCTAATAAATGTTCCTAAAAAGAGGATAATGCACTACATTCTAAGCCAGCTTAGAGAGTGCATTTTAAACTCAGGGTGTGTGCTAACCACAGTCACATTCAGGAAACTGACTAGGGGGAGGAGG